GCCTCTGGAGTGAAAGTGGCACCTGCCACCCCGCAAACAGAGGATGTGGCAGCAGCGCCACCACGTCCGCCATAGTCCCCAAGCATCTCCACACTGTCCCATGGAAGCGTTCAGCTGTCCATCTCCCAAAAACTGAAGAGAAAGAGGAAGTACCCTCCTACCCACCCGCGATCCCTGGCCCTGAATGCCAGCATTTCAAAATTCCTGGTCTTTGAAATGCTATCATTCCATCTGGTGGAGACAGTCAGTTTTAAAAACCTGATGGCGGTGGCTGTCCCACATACGTGGTTCCCAGCCGCCACTACTTTTCCAGGCGAGCCATCCCTTCCCTGCACAACCAATTGTCGGACAAAAATCAGGTGTGCACTGCGCAACGTCATCTGTGGCAAGGTTCACATAACCACTGATACGTGGACGGTAAGCACAGGCAGGGACGCTATATCTCCCTAACTGCACACTGGGCAAATGTAGTGGAGGCTGGGCCTGAGGCGGATAGCAGTTTGGCGCATGTCCTTCCGCCGCCGAGGATTGCAGGGCATTTCTCTTTGCCTCCTGTTGCCTCCTCCTCCTACTCTGCTTCCTCCTCCTCTACCACCTCCTCATCCGGTCAGCGTAACACCTTCACCACCAACTTCAGCACAGTCAGGGGGAAACGACAGCAGGCTGTTTTAAAACTCATATGTTAGGGGGAAAAACCTCACACCGCGCAGGAGCTGTGGACAGGCATGGAACAACAGACCGATCAGTGGTTGTTGCCCCTGAGCCTCAAGCCCGGCCTGGTGGTGTGCGATAATGGACGAAATCTCGTAGCAGCTCTGGGCCTAGCCGGTTTGACGCACATCCCTTCCTGGCGCATGTGCTGAATTTGGTGGTGCAGAAATTCCTGAAAAACTACCCAGATATATCAGAGCTGCTGCAGAAAATGCGGGCCATCTGTGCGCACTTTCGGCATTCTCACCCTGCTCCTGCTGCTCGTCTGTCTGCGATGCAGCGTAACTTCGGCCTTCCCGCTCACTGCCTCATATGCGACGTGCCCACAAGGTGGAACTCCACCTTGCACATGCTGGAGAGACTGTGCGAGCAGCAGCAGGCGATAGTGGAGTTTCAGCTGCAGCACGTACGTGTCAGTCACTCTGCGGAACAGCACCACTTCACCATCAATGAGTGGGCCTCCATGCGAGACCTGTGTGCCATGTTGCGCTGTTTCGAGTACTCCACCAACATGGGAAGTGCTGATGACGCCGTTCTCAGCCTTACTATCCCGCTTCTATGTCTCCTTGAAAAAACGCTTCAGGCGATGATGGAAGAGGATGTGGCACAGGAGGAAGAGGAAGAGGAAGAGGGGTCATTTCCACGGTTATTAGGCCAGGCATTCACAGGTGGCTCAGAGGGTGGTTTCCTGCACCAGCATAGGCCAGGTACACAATTGTCCAGCCAGGGCACAGTTCTGGAGGACGAGGAGGAGGAGGAGGAGGAGGAACCGTTCTCACAGCAGGGTGGCACCCAACGCAGCTCGTGGGCATCACTGGAGCGTGGCTGGGGGGATACAGAGGACACAGACGATACACCTCCCACAGAGGACAGCTTGTCCTTGCCTCTGGGCAGCCTGGCACTCATGAGGGACTACACGCTGCTGTGCCTGCACAACGACTGCCAAGTTGCCCACATTCTAACTTGTGCTGATTACTGCCTATGTTTAGTTATTGTTATAGATAAAGGGATCATTCTGAACAGGTATGACCAATGAGGTAGAATATATGATTTGATGATATTTATTCTTCCCAACCAGGAAATTCGTATGTTTCTCCACTCTTTGAGTAATTTATCACTGGTATCTTTTATAAGATTATCCACATTTTTATTGATCATTTCTTTTAAGCTATAAGAGAAATGAATCCCAAGATATTTAAAACCTTGTGATGACTAAGTGAAGGGATATTTAACTGATCTATTAATTGTCGTAAAATCTAAATTGATGGGCATAACTTTGGATTTACCAATATTTAATTTATAGTTTGAAACTCTACCATAGTCTTCCAACTCCCGAAACAAGGCCCCTAGTGATATATCCGGATCAGACAATGTTAATATTATGTCATCAGCATATAGGCTGATCTTAAATTCAGAATGATTCAGAATAACTCCTTTAATTTGATAGTTGTTTCTTATGCTCACTGCGAGCGGTTCAAGAGTCAAAATATATAAAAGCAGGGCCAGGGGACATCCCTGCCTGGTCCCGTTAGAAATTGTAAACCAAACTGCGGAGATGCCAGGGCCCACGGTTTTAGTCGTTGGACTAGAATAAAGAGCCATTATTGCAGTTTTAATGGAGCCAACAAACCTAAATTTGTCCAGAGTCTAGTTCATAAAACTCCAGCTGACCCTGTCAAACGCCTTCTCAGCATCTAGTGACAGGGCCAGCATAGGGATCTTGCTCCTTGTTACATAATCAACCAGGGCAGTCAATCTTCAAGTGTTATTACTTGGATCTCTATTCTAAACAAAACCTATTTGGTCGTGATGAATTAAAGATGGAATAATTGATTTTAGTCTATTTGCAATGACAGCAGAATAAATTGTAATATCTGAGTTTATAAGAGATATAGGCCGGTAATTAACCAGATTAGTTGGGTCCTTATCAGATTTTAATATCGGTGAGATATTAGCCTGTAATAATTCTTTCAAAGGGAGACCCGATTCTCTAATCTCGTTAAATGTATCTACTAGATGTTGCAATAGCTCATTTTTAAATTTCTTAAAAAAACCATTAGTATACCCGTCAGGACCTGGGGCTTTATTCAGCTTAATCCTGTTAATTACCAGACTAACCTCAGATTCAGAGAAAGGTAAGTTTAACTCTTTCTGCTGGCCATCTGTAAGAGTTGGCAATTTAATCCCATCCAGATATTCAGATATATCTAATTCCTGGGGGCTGGAGGAGAGATTATAAAGTTGTGCATAGAATTTATTAAAGGCATTACCTATTGATTTTGGGTCATTATAACAATGACCATCTACTATGATCTTTTCGACTCTCGATCGAGCTTTTCTATTTTTTAGTCTATTGGAAAGCATTTTATCATCTTTGTTGCTTTTATGGTACCAATTCTGATTTAGCTTTTGTAGAGCGAAATTCACTTTTGCTAATAAAATAGTATTGATCTTCTTGGATATTTCTGATATTTGTTGATCGAACTCCTTTGTAGGGGAGATTTTTTTTATTTAAATTATAGAATTCAAGGTATAGTTGATTTAAAGATTACACTCTTACCGGACCTTAGAATGGCCGGACTCGCCGTAGAGCAGAGAAAGACAGTCAGGAACGAGCCGAGGTCAAGGGTACAAAGAGACAGCGAAAACAAGAACTAGCCAAGGTCTGGTACACAGTAATCAGTAAGCCGGCAAACAAGACAAAACAGGGATAAAGAGAAAAACTGAGTCAGATACAAAGCCAAGGTCAAGTACGAAAAATCACAACTGAACAAAACAAGCGCTAAAGGGAACTGAAACAGAAACCACAATAGGGCAGGGAGTTAAGGGAGAAGTAAGTATAAATACCCTAGCATTTAATTTGATTGGCCCCTGTCATATCCACGCCCCCAAAATGTGAGTGTATGGGGAATGTGGGATGACAGGGGCCAATGGGAGACCGTTTTATATTTCGGCTCCCATGGTCCCTTTAAGAGCGTGCCCGAGACGCACGGCGCGTTCTTAGAGCTAGGCGGGACACGTGACCGCATCTGAGCTCTGAGCGAGCCGCGAAGCAGGAATAGAGGACCTCGGCCGGCCCCCGGATAAGGTAAGTACCGCTACATTGTGATCGTGGTTCATTAGCATCTAATCCTATTTCCATAATCCAAGCCGAATGGTCCGACCAGGGTATATCCTCAATTTTAATTAGGTAACATTGTTGAATTAACTGTATTTTAACCGAAAACCAATCTATTCTAGAATATGACAAGTGAGGTTTAGAGTAAAAAGTTAACTTCTTTTCATCAGGATGTTTTACACTCCACATGTCACATAGATTAAATTTAGATATGGCATTCTGCAGAACCAATTTTTTTAATGATATTTTGTTTCCTTTCTTGTGGAACCTTTTTATCCATTGATACATCTACCACACAGTTAAAGGACCACTCTAGGCACCCAGACCACTTCAGCTTAATGAAGTGGTATGGGTGCCAGGTCCAGCTAGGGTTAACCCATTTTTTCATAAACATAGCAGTTTCAGAGAAACTGCTATGTTTATGAATGGGTTAAGCCTTCCCCCATTCCCTCTAGCAGCTGTCTCATTGACAGCCACTAGAGGCGCTTGCGTGCTTCCCACTGTGATTTTCACAGTGAGAAGATGCCAGCGTCCATAGGAAAGCATTCAGCTCTTGCCGCGCATGCGCATTCAGCCGACTGGGAGGAGAAGAGGAGGATCGGAGGAGGAGAGCTCCCCGCCCAGCGCTGGAAAAAGGTAAGTTTTTTTTAACCCCTTTCCCCTTTCCAGAGCCGGGCGGGAGGGGGACCCTGAGGGTGGGGGCACCCTCAGGGCACTATAGTGCCAGGAAAACGAGTGTTTTCCTGGCACTATAGTGGTCCTTTAAGGTCTCCTCCAACTATAAAGGACCTTGTTTTCAAACTTGGTTAATATGTTATTAATACATTTTTCAGGTTGTTTATTTGGAGCAAATATATTAAGTAGTGAGTAGATTTCCCCCTGCAATCAGGGCTGCCATCAGAAATGTTGGGGCCCCTGACACAGCTCAAGGTCTGGGCCCCCCGGTGCCTGCACCCGAGTCCCCCCAAAGTGCTTCCCCCCCCGAAGCCGCCCACAGGGATGCAGTGTCTGCAGGGCCGGTGCAAGGATTTTTGCCACCCTAGGCAAAAGTAAAGTTTGCCGCCCCACCCATATGATCTGCCATGTTAACTAACACCAGTGCTGCAGTGCCGCCGTGTTTACATTAAAAGGCCTGCAGGGACAGGCTAGACACCAGAACCACTACATTAGCTGTGAGGTAAATTAGAGATAAGTGCCACGAATAATATACTAGATTGCCTACTTACAACCAGATGAGGATGATGATGGGCTCTAGTTGCTGTCTGGCTCCACTGGTCTGGTGTAACAGGCTCTCTGGAGGCGGTTTGTAACTGTGGTCACAAAATCAATGTTCTGGGAGAACGGGAAGCAGCTCCATTTTTTTGAGGGCTCTTTACACAGCTCAAGGTCTGGGTCCCAGGGCCCACCTTCATGTTCCACCAATGAGTTTGTTCACAGGGAGTGGAGTGTGTGTGTGGGGGATGTCCTGATGTGTGTAAGGAATGCATTGTGTGAATCTGTGCTTGTATGTGTAAGGGCTGCAAGATGAGTTTGTGTATGTATGGGATGCAGTGTGTGCGTCTGTAAGGGATGCATTGAGTGTGTGTAAGGGGTGCATTGTGTGTTGCTGTGTGTGAGGGATGCATTGCTTGTGTACGTGTGTCTGTGTGTAATGCATTGTGTGTTTTTCTGTGTGCAAGGGGTGCATTGTGTGTGATGGATGTCAATCTCTCCCCCTCCCCCCCCCGTCAATTTCCTTCTCCCCCTCCCTCTCCAATTTCCTTCTTCCCCCCTCCAATTTCCTTCTTCTCCTCCTCCCTCTCATTTCCTTCCTCTTCCCCCGTCCCTCAAATTTCCTTCCTCTCCCCCCGTCCCTCAAATTTCCTTCCTCTCCCCCCGTCCCTCAAATTTCCTTCCTCTCCCCCTGTCCCTCAAATTTCCTTCCTCTCCCCCGTCCCTCAGAGTTGGTCCTCTCCCCCTCCCCCCTCAAATGTCATTCCTCCTCCCTCCCCCTCAAATTTCATTTCTTCCCCCCCCTCCCATTCATTCCTTTACCCTCCATCCCATTTCATTCCTTTACCCTCCATGCCATTTCATTCCTTTACCCCTCATTTTCATCCCCCCTCCCATTTCATTTCCCCACCCCCCATTCCTTCCCATCCCCTCCCTCAAATTTCATTTCTCCTCACCCCCCGCCCCCTGACGGCGGGCGCGCGAGGGAGCACTCTCTGTGTGCTTCCTCTTCAGCTCCCTCGCGCGCCGCGTACTGATGCCGGAGCCGGAAGATGACGTCATCTTCCGGCTCCGGCATCAGTACGGTGTGCGAGGGAGCTGACGAGGAAGCACACAGAGAGTGCTCCCTCGCGTGCCGGCCCACCTGCCGGGTGTCAGCAGGGCCAGCCTCTGGGGGGCCCTGAGGTGACCGGCTGCTGGGCCCCCCAGGAGAAGAGGCTGGCCCAGTGGATACATACCGGGGTCGCAGGTATGTACCCACTGAATGTGGGGCCCGGACGACCTTAGCAGTCCGGGCCCCCCAGGACCGCCGGGCCCATGACAACCGTTACGGTTGTCATGCCCTGATGGCGGCCCTGCCTGCAATTCACAGATCAAGAACACATATCTGCTATTCTTATCCACTTCTCTATATAGTTCTTTGTAAGTTACATTCTTTGAAATAAAAATTGCAACTCCTCTGTTTTTAGAGCTATAATCTGAGGAGACAAGAGTTGGATAATAGAAACTTTTCATTTTTGAGTTTCCAGCTTTCCAGTGTGTAAATCCGACAGTAATTTTCTTTTTCCATAAATGATCTACTAAAAGCTTACGTTTCTGTGGAGTATTCAAACCCTTAACATTCAAAGTTATAATCCTAATCTTATTCCCCTCTAACATTAATCCTCCCTATGCTACGTAATTCCTCAGGTTGGCCACGTACAATCCGCTCAACATATAAGACAAATACAACCATATAACAAAAAAACCCTCAAAGGGTTAAAAAAAAAAATGACTCTTGAAAAACCCTTACGAGCGTCATTGTCCCAAATAGTGTGTCTTACCCCCTTTCCCTTGCTAGACACTTTTCCCATCAGCTCTTCTATCAAGAGCTGTACTGTAGGGCAACGGAATGCAGATATTTTTTTAAAATTTATAAAGAAAACATTTTCTTGTACACATTGATTCTTCTTTCTTACTTTAATAAACTTTTTCTAGACTTTCCTAATTTTATTTCATGTGCATTTACTTCTTTATTTAAGATAATTTAACGTGTCCATATTCTCCTCGTTAATTTATGTGCAAATCAAATTTTTCCTTATTAC